CTTCCAAACAGCTATGGCGCCTCAGCGCCCTCACATCCTCTGTTGCCACTGTGTTCAACCAACTGTTCACATGCACTCGACTCAGGATCTCCCTGGATATCCCACACGCACAACTCAGTACAAAACCACACACACACACTGACGTCTATCACTAAGCTACAGCGGCTATGGCCGCTCCACAACTGCTGACTATGGACGAACTATCTCCCTTCAGCCCACTTCGACTTCGGGCATCTGCAGACCACCTCGCACAAGTCGCCTGGCAGCGCTTCCGCATGGCTTCCGCAGGAAATGAATGAATGGCTGGACGCTGCCTCTTGATTTATACTTCTGTAAGTCACTGGTCTGCCCCTTTCCACCGGGCCCACTGTGCACACAGTCCCTCATGATACTTGCTGACTGTACAAAGTGAGACTGGGACTGGGTACCGCTGACTAAGCGAAGTTGGACTCACCACTTGCCCACTTGCCTCTGGTCTGCTGTGGGTAACGTGAGGAAAACTTGAAAGGCTACTTCCGGACCTTCCGGAAGTCTGTGGACTTGGCCTTTCGGGACTGTAGCAGCTACGACCTTGACCTTTCAAAATTGCTACAGCTACGGCCTCTATACAACTATGACCCCTACTCAACAGATCTACAGATCGAACCCCTACAGCTACACAGACCTACGACAAGCAACAACTGACTCCTAAAACGCAGGTCACGGGTTCAAACACACAGAGGTACTGTACACTGGTGAGGTGAGGTCTAGGGATCGATCCCTGGGATCTGCATCTGTTACTGCCAAGGTGAAAACAGTTTCAAATTGTTTTTAAGTCCAACCAATTCAATTACCTGTCGAATTTTGTAACCTTATAACTGTTGTTGGAAAAATCTTGGCAAAAAAGAAAAGAAAAAAAAAAACTCTGAAAAGAAAAACAGGCAAATTTAATTACTGGGACATTTCTTCTGTACTCGCATGTCCAGAAGAAGCACTCACTTCGAGCAGCGAAGCACCGGTGCAGACTGAGGATGTAAGGGCAAACAGTTTGCTCAACACAAAAAAAAAGAACAGTACACCCTCAACTCCAAACGGGGTGAGGGTGAAGCTGAACCAATCCGCCTTTTAACCTTTTTGCAAACGTAAAAGTAGGGCAGCGAGAGCGGAACGACGCAACATGACGAATTGTGCTCGAGATATTGTGTGGCGGGCGCTTGAAAACCTGTGGCGAATTCTGGGACTGCTGGGTGTGGTACAGTCCAACCAAGTCAGTACGCAGTGAGTCAACCTGAACAGGTAGTCATAATCCGCAGCCAATGAACATCGGACCGGAAGAAGAAGAAGAAGAAGGGAGAAAGAAGAAGAAGAAGAAGAAGAAGAAGAAGAAGAAGAAGAAGGAGGAGGAGGCGGAGGAGGAGGAGGAGGAAGAAGAGGAGGAGGAAGAAGAAGAAGAAGAAGAAGAAGAAGAAGAAGAAGAAGAAGAAGAAGAAGGAGGAGGAGGAGGAGGAGGAGGAGGAGGAGAAGAAGGAGGCGGAAGAGAAGAAGAAGAAGAAGAGAGAGAAGAAGAAGAAGAAGAAGAAGAAGAAGAAGAAGAAGAAGAAGAAGAAGGAGGAGGAGGCGGAGGAGGAGACTTTCCGGTTCAAAAAAAAAAAAAAACAGGGCGCAAAACCCTAGTCCTGTCTCTTATACACATCTAGATGTGTATAAGAGACACCTACACTCGTNGAAGAAGAAGAAGAAGAAGAAGGAGGAGGAGGAGGAGGAGGAGGAGGAGGAGGAGGAGGAGGAGGAAGAAGAAGAAGAGGAGGAAGACGAGGAAGAAGAAGAAGAAGAAGAAGAAGAAGAAGAAGAAGAGACAATTGCAGGACACACTACGCAGGGTGCTTAATTGCAGTGTTGCATGCCCATTGAATTGACAGTAAGAGCAACCCTCATGGATGGAGCAAAACACTGCACAAGCATTTGAGGAATCCGACCTGGAAAGCGGGGATCCACTCACTATAAGAAGGTGTGAAGGCAGTGGGAAAGAGAGGACGATGCACCTTAAAAGCTTGTAGACTCGATTCAACAAGTTAATGATGTCTTCCTCTCTCGCCTTTCCTTCATAGAACCCCCCACATCCCGTCTTCCCAGTGTATGAGCCCTGCTCTTTTGCAACTGCTGTAGATACGGTTGGTCTCCGTTTGCAGCAGCTAATTCCCATTTACCAAACTTTACAGGTGTTCCCCAGTCCTTATCACAGAGTTACTGTGGTGATTGCCTCCATTCACCTCCTGTTTTTCCTCTCTCTACTTTACGCGTCATAGGTCCCCACCACCCACAGTCATTTCCTCCGCACTTCAGCTGTGACTGCCTCCGTTCACCTCAGCTTTTAAGGACATCTCTCTCCTTTCTGCTAACTAAGTTGCCGCATCCTTTCCCTTTGCAGTTGGTGCACTTATCTGCAGCAATTGCTCGCGATGATAGGAAGGAAAGAAAGATACCACTCACCTTCTACCAAGGAAACGCTAAGGAGCGCTAATGAGTCTACATGTTGGGTCTAAGCTTCTAAAGACCTAAAAGCTGTAGAGTTCTTAATCCATCAATGTTGAACCAGACAGTGCACAAGACCCTGATCCAGTGGGTGCCATGTGACCTGCCGATCCATCTTTGAGTAGGTAATACCTGAATGGGGAAGGCATTGGGCACAAAACTGCTAGCTAAGCTCCAACTAGCTCAAACTGTTGAACATTGATCTCTTACAAATGGACAATGAAATGTTCATTCCTCACCTTGCCACGGAAGCCCTGTTAGAACTGGCTCTGGTCCGCATGGCCATGACAACACTTGCAGTAATGTCTGCATCCAATCGCCGAACGGAAGCAATTATCGACGAGGGAATTTCTCCATCCTTTGCCACACTGGTCACCTCTATAGCATTGCTGAGACCTGATCGCGAGTGTCCACCTAATGTCTCGTACAAGGATACTGAATCGAGCATACTCTCCTGGCCGCTTGGCTGCTGTAACCTCTTCAGCTTCTGGTAAGCTTTTGTTACCTGCGCAGATTGTTCAAACACGACAGTCAGTGCACCATACTCATGTAGGGATGAAAAATGTTTTCTTTTTCCTTCAAAAAAAAAAGGGTTGCGGGTGGCAGGATCAGACCTTCCATGGCACATCCATGGGCGTGACTGGCATCGTAACTCCCTAACACCCTCGATGTAAATGGTTTGACTCTAGAGTCTAGACCCACTAAACCGCATATATCATGGTCTTAGGGGCCTATTGCCCTAAGTGAACCTCTGTGACCCTAGTAGCCCTGGTCAGTACTTTTTACGACCCCATTACAGCTTGTCACCCCCCCCAAGTGGGGTCCCCCTGCTGGCATTACAATGTTCTCCTCAACCATTACGACCGCAGGTCACCCCTCCCATGCAGCACATGGTCAAGATGGTTCAGCATACTACAAGTGCCCCAGTTATATATTTGCCCTTGCTCCCTAGTACTATGCTAGCTCTATAGACCAGATCTTCCTGGAGAGTAGGGCGGTCACGCCTATCACTTCTATTGTCTGCCTCCATTGCGTATGTATACTCATACGTCATTGGTCTTTCTTTTATATTATTAATTACCAGTAGCTCCACATAAAGTCTCCGAGGATCCTACAGAGACATATGTTGGTTTCCTGCAGATTGCCCTCTAAAGGCTCTAAATAATTTATTTCCAATTACTTACTATCTAGAAATTAAATTCTATCTATTCGAGGAGTTTCCCGCGTACAGTGGAGTTTCCTATTTCTAGTCACCTAGCAAGTAAGGCACCAAAACTACCTTAGGCGAACTGCCCCAGTAGGGGTGTTTCACCTTGGGTTCCTACGTCTACCACACTCCACATGGTGCTCTGTAACACCCCTAGTTCCTACTGCTATTCAAAGCGGGCACCCTCAGCCCTAGCCCCCTACTTAGCGCCTCAGCGCCAGAGATATCCTCCACAGTTTCATTAGAAGGCTCCCTAGACCCCCCCTAGGATGTGGTACCACCCCTACAGAACGCCCTAAGCCCCCTCTAGGACGTCCCCTAAATCCCCCCTAGGGCACACACAACCCACCAGCACTACCCACTCGGAAGGACCCCAGCTTCCCCCCGCTGAGACCTCTCTCCCCCAGCTCCAATACATCATGCTGAAGAACACCCTAAGGACGCCCCATGCTGGGTGCACCATGAATCCCCTAATCCCGATTCCCCCCCATAGAGCAACCCTGGTGCCTTTATACCACAAGGCGCAATTTCCACCAGTGCACCCACTGAGCTAATGCCACCCACAATGAGAAGTGTTTTGAATTGCAAATCGGCTGCAAGTTGCAAATCAGGAAATTAATTCATTCAAGAGCAAGGATTGATCATCTGCTTTTTTTTTAAAATGAAAATGTACACGTTCACGCTAGGGCAGTTGGCGTTTCAACTCAAGAGCGCAGGTCTCCGGGTTAACTGCCAAGAGTATACTGCACCAGGAGACCTTTACGGTACCCAGTCGCACAGGCGTCACCCTTGCTCCCCCTGAGGTGCTGCGAGTTGCCCTTCCGTTCTCATCAAGAACACCGAACAGCCTACCCCCAATGTGTAGTATCCATTGCGTACAATTTATTGGGCCATCCCCCCAAGGGGTACCTGACCCTAGTAGGCGAATGCACTGTAGCCCAGCTGCTGGGTCGGAGACAGCAGGCACAGATCTAATCCCAGCCAGCCAACTGTAGATGCTTCAGAGCGGTGGCAGCTGCAACCTTATCCTGGCACAAGACAGTGGGCTCAGGACCCCTCTAGTCGACCGAGCACCATCTATCTAGGCTCGGACAGGGAACCGGCAGGCTGCGCCTAAGCATCCACTCGGGCATGGCATGGATCAAACCTGCAACCTGCGTCTCCGAGGAACGGGTGTATTTCACGGTCTAACGCCTGGCCTGCAGCATGCGCCACAAGTGCCCCACAGGGCATGGCAACACTCGAACCCGCAACCTGTGGAAGTGAACACACAGGGACCCAATCCATCTGGGCTACAGTGCAAACGCAGTGTGCGAATGGGCCTAATAAGCTCTGCGCAGTGAATCCACAATATCAATATTCAGAACATCACACCGGAGTGCAGGCCCAAAGATTTGAACCCACACCCTAAGCCACAATGGTGAATATTGCAGAATACCAATATCCAGTATGTACGGTGCACCAGAGTGCAGGCTCGAAGACTCCAACCCACACCCTAAGCCACAAAGGTGCCTAACCGACCAGCGCTCGACCAACTGAACTCAGGGCAACTGACATATATCCTGATGGATCTCTCTTGTCGGGAGCGTTAATCCATGGTCTATTAGATCACATCTACCTTTCTAGTCGAGAGTTATAACATTGCAATGATTGCATCTGCCTGAGGGTGGGTGACCCCTTCTTTTCTTCTTTGCTTATTTTTCTTTGGTTTCGGGGGTGAAGGTTTTACAAACTCACTGGCTTCCGATCGGATTTGTTCTCAACTTCTCATACACTCTTGACAGCATCCAAATATGCATCACACCACACTAGATTGGAACTCTCAGAACCTTCACCAAACCGGATTGGAAAAGGTTTTGCAACAGCTTAATATACCCTTGAAACTTGAAAGTTGAAACCTACCAGTAGTCTTTTTGTCTTTCCCCGAAGCAGAATTATTTCATTTCATTAATAGATTGAAATTCAAGGCTGGGGACCTCACAAACATTGATGACAATACTAGACAAATGTGTCCACAAGGGTCCTGGAAGGCCCAGAGCCAGATACAACAAATGGGGAGCAAAGAGACGGGTTGCAGTTCAAGCAGCAATGGCTGTTCACTGTACTCACCTGAACTTAGTGATGAGCAACAGCGCTTCCCCTCTCAATTCTACCTAAAATTTGTGACTGAAAGTGCAGTTGATCTCGTTACTTTTGTCTAGCAACTCGTTCCCTGGGCCTACCCGGTCTGCTGGGGAAAAAATCCCACTCTTATATAGTCTGAAAACTTGTGAAAAGCTAAATCTAAGCCTGGCCAACAGACTCTACTTGTAGGCCCTAGGCGCAATCCCGACCGGCAGCAAAAATAACCAAAAAAAAACAAAAAAAGTGGGCTGAACTTAACCGTATTGTTGGCCAAGTTCTGGGAACAGAATCCAGCACTCATTCCTACAGTAGCAGGGATCAAACCCTGCATATGTTAATCACAGCAAAAATGACAGCTACTGTGAAGGCGCCCGCGGAACCCGCAGGAAGATGGCCCGTGCGTGTGGCTGGGTTAAGTAGCGGTGGTGGGTCGCGTGCTGTTGGAGCAAAGTGTGCGTGAATTGCCGTGTCCGTGTGGTGTTGTGTGTGCTGTGTGTGCGTTGGGCGCTACAGCCCTGCACGGGTGGGGAGGATATCACGGCCGGTATGGTTCCACTTTTGAACGCTCCGTCGGGGCCGTAGTGGTTAAGAGATTTGATTCCTGTGGCTGAGGGTGCCGGTTCGAGGCTGTGCGTGCACGGTGGAGCCTGAAGCCCTAAAGCATGAATCAGTAATCTACTGCACTGCACCAACAAAAAGACAGGAAGAGTCCTATTTTCTTTTTCTTTTGTTTTCATTATTGCTGAAAACAGGTTCAGCATCCCACACATAAAGAAACACATGCACACTTTCCCCCATCATGGCCAAGGAACCCAAGAGAGTGGCATTGATTGCTTCCTGCCCACCGAAGGATGTACCACTGCACGCTCACCCTTGTCATTGAGACTAATGCCAGCCTGTCCTTCTTTGGCAAGTTTGCTGACTGCCTACATTCCCCCGGAGTAACTACAGAGAGCCGATCCTTCAACACTATCCTTGACCTAAGACATTGTATGTCGACATGCCTCTGGTAGTCCTATTACTGTTCCCTGACTACGATATGTGAGGTGGAGATTGTCAGAGATAGGAAGATCGGGTCTTCCTCAACTTGATCTCTTTACTGGACATTCGCCAAACTGCGCAAAGTCGGGTTGTGCCATTTCCGTCATCTCAGGTACTATCTTCCCAGAGTTGTGATCTTGACTAAGAGAAGACTAAAGGAGTCAGTTATCCTTGAAGAAAAAGAGGACATTAACAGTAGGGAAGAGGTTATGACATGGGTAAGGAATCTAAGGATGGTTTGCTGAGGCAAGAAAATATCACCGTTGCTAAGGATGGTTGTGATCTTCACTAAGAGAAGACATTTTGCACGCCCTGACACCGATCCGGACTGTCCGGGTCCGGTGATGTCCGGATCACTGGACAGTCCGGACCGGTCCAGACACTGGTTCGGAAGACAGTCCGGAAGTGTCCGGTGTCCTGGTCCGCGGTTACCATGAAACAAATCCTACACATGCCAGAAAGTAGCACGAAGACTCCTTACACGATGAACTCCCAGGGTAAACAAAGCCTTGTTGCTATCACTCCAACGCGACCACTACATCAGGGGACATCATACCCAGTCCACCATCAACTTGAGACGATCCTCCATCACACAGCCCCAATCCTCCCTCCCTCTACCATCCGTCACCAGTTTCTACTACATCAAATGTCCCACCCTCCCAGCTTGGTGTGGCAGCAGAGCCGGCCATCAAGACTGATATGGCCAGGTTAGAACTGCTGAAAAATCTCAACATCCGTACTTATAATTTCATTGTTCTACTGGTCAACAGACCAAGTACAAGGCACATGGGACTGAGAAGCCCTAAACTAGCCCACCAGCAATCCTATCCAGGTTGAAATCGCGTCTCAAAACATCGTGACAGTAAGGCAAGAAGGGTGATGGACAGGTTATACACGGGAGCCGTCGACACGTCATATACTGTGAAATGTAACGACTCGTGGCAAGTGTTTTCGGATTTTGTTACTAATTGTCCAGCACGAGATGCATGGAACAGAACACTAAGAAGGCTTTTGTAAGATAGACCATGTCCTTGTCCCCCTGCTTGGTTCAGAATGTAATAATCCAACTCAAGAAGGCTTTTGTAAGATAGACCTCCTCAGTGATGTCTTCCTCCAATTTAGATGTGTCTGCG